GGTTCGATTCCGGTCAAGGGCATGTACTTGGGTTGCGGGCACATCCCCAGTAGGAGATGTGCAGGAGGCAGCTGATCGATGTTTCTCTCTCATCGATGTTTCTAACTCTCTATCTCTCTCCCTTCCTCTCTGTAAAAAATCAATAAAATATATTTAAAAAATAAATAAATAAACTTTAAAAAAAAAAAAAAGAACAGTATGCTATATATGCCAGGCCCCTTGAAACATATGCTGTGCAGATGTTTCTTCCCTTCAGCGACCGTGTCAAGCAGCAAGGATGGACCGGCTCCCGGCAGTGTGGCTTAGTGGTTGAGCATTGACCCATGAACTAAGAGGTCACTGGTTCAATCACATGCTGGGGTTGCTGGCTTGATCTCCAGTAGGGGGCGTGCAGTAGGCAGTCAATCAATGTTGCTCTCTCATGGATATTTCTATCTCTCTCTTTCCCTTCATCTTTCTCTAAAATCAGTAAAAACATATAGAACCCTAGCTGGGTTAGCTCAGTGGATAGAGCGTCGGCCTACGTACTGAAAGGTCCCAGGTTCGATTCCGGTCAAGGGCACATGCCCGGGTTGCAGGCTCGATCCCCAGTGGGGGCCGTGCAGGAGGCAGCCAATCAATGATTCCCTCTCAGCATTGATGTTTCTATCTCTCTCTCCCTCTCTGAAATCAATAAAAATATATTTAAAAATAAAAACAGAGTGACTCAGAAGAAAGCCAGTGTGTTTTCTAACGTAATGTCATGAGTGACACCCCATCCCGTCTGCCGTTCTCTCTCGATCAGATCAGCTCTGGCCGTGTTGGAAGGACTACCTACGGCCGGGAAAGCCAGGGTGTGGGGCTCCCGGGGCCATCCAGGAGGCGGACTGCTTTCCTCTCAAACACGTATTGAGCCCCTGCTGACTTCCAGTCAGCGGACCCAGAACTTTCCATACAGGAACACAGCTCAGTTCCTCGAGACAATCTAAGTGGGTTTATTACCGTCGTAGGCAGTGGAGTCTGGCGGTCAGGCACACACCCTGTGGAGCTAGACGGCTGGGGTTCCGATCCCAGCTGTCACTCACTGGCTGTGTGACTTGAGCAAGGGACTCCACCTCTCTGGCTCACTTTCTTCCTTTGCAAGTGGGGGACAGCAGTATCTACCTCTTGGGTGACGCCAGGCAAGTGGCGGCTGAGATCCTCTCGCAAGAGGAGGAAACACGTTGGGGGAGGGGACACGTCTTGCCCACGGTCCTCCTGATGGGAGAGGCCATGGTGGCCTCTGCAGGCAGGTGCGTGTCTGGGCTGCTTCTCAGGCGCCCCCCACCCCCGCCCCCACCCCCAGTGGTGACCATGTGTTTCCTGCTCCCCACAGGTCTGCTCCCATAGTTCCCTGGAGTCCGGTATGGTGAGCGGGTAGGGGACGCCGGGCGTGCAGGAGGCAGGGGTGTGGATCATGCCTCCACCAGCCAGCGCTTCTCCTGCCATCGGAGGCCGCACCCAGCCTGCCCATGGCCGGCACGGGCCCGTCGCTCTCCGGTGCCTTTCGCATTCTGGGCAGGGCAGGCCAGGACAAGCTCCTGCATCTGAAGCACAAGCTGAAGACCCTAT